GCTAGCCTTGAGCTGAAGAGCTGAGGGACAGCGCCCAGGCCCAGAGTTCAGGCCCACGACCAGATCCACCCCCCCCCGACCCCTAAAGAAAAAACAACAAAAAACAGCCAAATAACGCCTGACACTGGTGGCTCATGCCTGTAAGCCTACTTACCCAGAGGCTGACATCAGAGAATCTTGGTTTGAAGCCAGCCTGGGCAGAAACATCCCTGAGACACTAATGAATCACAAAAAGCCAGAAGTAGAGCAGTGATCTAAGTGGTAGAGCACTAGCCTTGAGCAAAAGAAACTCAGACACAGCCCCGGGGCCCTGAGTTCAAGCCCCAGGACTGCACAAAAGAAATGTAAATGGTAGGATTACGGTTCAAGCCTGCTTGGACAAAAAGCAAGATCCCATCGCAACAACAACTAGGGAAAAAAGAACTGGGGCTTGATCAAGTGTTGGAATAGCTGCCTAGCTTGTTAAGTTCAAACTCTATTTCACAAAAAGAGAGAAGCCCAGAAATGCCTCTGAGAGACCTCGACATGCTTGGAGATGGTCTCATTACCACACAGTGGGCCTGGATACCGGGAGGACAGAGGGGAGCTCCATGCTCAGCAGAGCGGGACCCAGGATGCCAGCTTCCCACTGTCCCCAGTGCCCTGATGGATAAGAGGGAGGTGGGCACAGCTGGTCCAGGCCCTGCCCCGAGCACCGCAGCTGCACTGCAGCGTTGGGAGGGATGGAGTCAGAGTCTACCTGCTGGGAGGGAGCAGGAAGATGTCCAGCAAGGTGTCCGGCAAGGCTCCACAGCATTCCCTGAGGCGGGGGACTGTCCAGCACACCTCCCCCCTCCTGTGGCATGGGAGCTTCGTCAGGCATTGTCCAGTGGGCCCCCCCGGGACTCACCCCACTTTTACCTGCAGTACCACCGTGTCCCTACAGCAGGATGCGGGTACACCTTGCTCTCCCCATGTCGCCACCTCTGCTCTTCTTGGGTTTTTGGCATGAACATTACCAACTGTACACACACACGGGAGAAATGCAAGCCAATATTAAGATTAAAAAAGAGCCTTGGTCTGGGAAGGTGGCTCAGTGGCAGAGCGCTTGCCTTGCATGCATGAGGCCCTGGGTTCAATTCCTCAGCACCACGTAAGCAAAAAGGAAAAAAGTCAGAAGTGGTGCTGTGGCTCAAGTGGTAGAGCGCTAGCCTTGAGCTGAAGAGCTGAGGGACAGCGCCCAGGCCCAGAGTTCAGGCCCCATAACTGGACCCCAAAAAAATAAAAATAAAAATAAATAAAAAAGAGTCCTCAAAGCTTCATAGGACAGCCTAACTCTGTTGATGCACTTTCTATTACCAGGCCAAAATTATGTGCTCCTCTATCTGCAAATGCATTGGCTGCAAAAACTATGAAGAAAGTCCAGAACGAAAATCACTGCTGAACCTGCCAAACTGCACAGAGACTGGAGATCTTGAGGGGCACCATCCTTTGTTACCTGGCAAATTTTCAGGACTGCCAAAATTCAGAAAAGATAGGTAGGTCCACGGAGTGAGTGGGAGGGGGTGAGAAGCAGCAGCTACCCGCGAGGGGTGTGGGTGTGTGCGGGAAGCTGTCTGGGTCCAGTGATCCTGGCCGACCCCTGGGTGCTCAGGGGTCACTGGGGAGCTGCTTTGATCTGCCATCCTCTGTTGGAGACGCCCATTGGTGCAGACCAAATGGAGCGAGCTGCCTCACAAAGGAGAGCAGAGCATCTCTGGCTCAGGCAGCAACTGCCCACCCTGGTTCACTGAGTGCAGCCACAGTGCCGGTGCTGACACAGGTCCCCCTCCTGGAGAGCCTGTGCACCCCATGGTTTTGAAGCTGTGTTATAACCCAGTCAGGTCCTGAAGGTTGAGTGGTATTTTTCCTTGGTATTAGACTTGATTTAAACAGTTTCTTTGAGGTCCTTGTAATGGGTCATATTGAAGTGCCAGCTGCCATTAATGAACACATTTTAGTGTATAAAACAAAACTCAGGTTTCCTTGGATAGAAACATGAGACACACCGAGGCTCAGCTGCCCCCGGAGAGCCGTGTGTCCCATGGACAGTAAGGACGGTGGCCGTCTCTCCCACAGGCGGCCCTCGTCCTGCATCTCCTGGGAGGTGGTGGAGGCCACGTGCGCCTGCCTGCTGGCGCAAGGCGAGGAGGCCGAGAAGGAGCACTGCTCTGAGTGCCTGGCAGAGCAGAAGATCCTGGAGGAGTTCGGAAGGTGCTTGTCCCAGATTCTCCACATCGAGTTCAAATCCAAGGGCTTGAAAATGGAGTAGCATGCACAGGGGGAGCGTGAATGCTTGCAGGCTCTGCCTCAGCATTGGCGTGGCGGCCTGGAGGAGCCGGGCCAGGGCTCAGCCACAGTTAGGACCAAGTTCTCCTGGGCAGCCGAGAGAGGCTACTTAGGTGCTCCCTCAGGTCCGGGCCGGGGGTGAAGTCCACGGACAGCGAGGGGAGGGAACTCCTGTCATGGCGGAGGCTGGACGTGGTCCGTGAGCTGGGAGCAAGTCAGCCTGGAGTCAGCCTCTCGCAGGGCCTGCCAGCTCGCAAACTGGGCTGGTTTCTTTGTTTTTGTTGACCTTTGTTTTTCAGATTGTTTAGAAATAAACTCTCCAGATGGGTGTTATGATACAACTTGAAACCTCTAGGGAGCACCCCAAGAAATTTCTGCAGTAGAGATGTCCCCCGCCAAGTCACGGGATTGTCAGGCTCCCTGGGCCGTGGAGTGGGGGGAGGGAGGGAGGCTCTCATCAGGAGTGCAGCATTTTGGGGCTTCAGATTGTGTCTAGTTTCTTGCATGTTTGTACATGAATTGTGGGAAAGCTCCATAATTATTGTTCTGATATTCTTAGTACTTGTAAAATATGGTTAAACTAGCTTGTAGAGACAGCAGGAAAGGTTACGTATTATGTTGACTTTTTTGGTTCTATGCTGAGTGAATATGTAATTATTAACTTGGTGACTGAGAATGTATTTATCTTATAGCTCCCCTGAAATATATTGACATAGTGTTCTGCCATGTCTCTGTGTTGATTAAAATAATGTCGGCTGCTTGGGGCACAGAGCGGCCAGAGGAAGGAGACTGGCCGCGGCCGCGGCTGCCAGGCATGGGGGGAAGCTGGCCTCGCAGAGCCAGATTTGGAGCAGCCTGCTGATGAGCAGGAGCGGAACCCCGGTCTCTGTGTTGGCAGCCCCTCTTCGGCCCGTTGGAAAACAGATTCTGAGCAGAAGCCTAGGTGAAGACAGATACAGCTGTCGCTCAAAAGAGGTGAGGGCAGCCCGGGACTGCTCCCCTCCAGAATCCACAGCTGCCCCGGTGCCTTCTAGAAAACAGCATGGCGCTGCCCGAGACGGAGGCACATCCTCCCGGGACGCCACTCATCTCCAGATATTTCCCAGTCCTAGCACAGGGTACGTGCTACATGAGCAGTTTTACACACTTGTACTTGTCTACTTATTTTTGTTGGTTTATATTGAGAGTCGAACTCAGGGCCTGGTGCTTGCTAGGCAGGCACTCTACTACTTGAGCCACATGCCTTTCCTGTTAACTAGGTTTGGCCAGACCTTTTCCTTTAGTTGTTTTTGGAATAGGGTTTCATGTTTAAGCCTGAACTGGCCTGGACTACCATCCTATTTATGCCCCTTAAGTAGCTAGGATGGCAGGCATGTGCTACCCTGCCCACTATCGGTTGAAATGGGGTCTCACTAACTTTTTGTGTTAGCTGACCTCAAATCCCAACCCAACCAATCTTAGCCTCCCACGTAGTTGGAAATACAGACCATGTCACACCCTTTGGACTTTTGAAACAAAGCCTAGGCAGGACTTGAACTTGACATCCCTGCTTCAGTCTTCTGAGTGCTGGGATTACATGCATGTACCACCATGCTGGGTATGCATTTTTCCCCTGGATATTTTCAGTCCACTCTGGGTTGAGTCTGAGGTTGGCAGCTGATGGCGGGCCTGTGGCATGGCCTCATCAGAACCCGACTTGTCCATTGGGCTGCAGTCAGCGCGGAAGGCGAGGGCCACCTTCCACCCTCTCCTGAGAATCATCCCCTCCTCCGCCCCTTTGCTGGCAGCGCCCTCCCCCTCGCGCCCTTCCCCCCTTGTAGATGCTGCCACCTCCCTTCTTCACCCAGTCCTTGAGGGAAAGTCTGGAGGAGAGGTGACGGCATGATGGGGGACCCCCAGGGCAGCTCCTTGGGGGCGAGGTAAAGAGAGGCAGACTGGCAGCCACTAAGGTACTGAGTGCCTACTTAGGGTGGTGCCCCACGCGCTGGGTACTGAGCTGGGTACTTAGGGTGGTGCCCCACGCGCTGGGGCAGGGGGCAGAAGGGGGACCCTTGCATGCGGCACTGGCCTGGGCCCTGTGGAGTGTACTGGAGTTTGCCAGCCCTGGAGAGGCGTGCACAGGCCGGAGGCCGGGCAGGGGCAGGTCTGGAGGATCCGGAGCTAGGGCTGAGCAGGGACAGGAATGAGGCAGGAAGGACAGGGCACGGCACAGCTTGGGCCGGGAGCGGCTGCTGCTGCTGGCCTGGGCTGGCAGAGGAGGCAGTCTCCTGACGTGGGGCGGATCTCCTGGGCCACGAGAGGAGGAAGGCAGGTCTGGAGCCCGCAAGCTCACTATGCAGAGGCAAGGGCTGGGCAGGATCGGGATCTACTGTGAGCGTGAGCTGCTCCGTCCCGGGGGATGGGGGGCTGCTGCGCTGGGTCACCTGGCCTGGCGTCTTCCCCACTCTGCTCTAGGAAGTGTTGCCTGCAGACACAGCCAGTCCTCTGCCTGGAGGACAACGGAGAAAAGGCCGGGCACTGCTCCCCAGGCAAGCGGGCCAGGCCTCGCTAACCTAGTGGAGCTGTTTGGCTTTCCTCAGCACTGGCCCGTCTGTGCACTGTCTCCACTCCCCAGCACAGGCCTCCCCTCACCCCTGTGCACCGCATGGCCCTGCCTGGCCTCTTCTCAAGCCCTGCCGGCTCACCCTCTCCTCTGTCCCCCACGCCCCAAAGCACCTGCACCTCCAGGCACCGTCTGCCTGTGTGCTTTGTTCATGGCAGCCACACACTGGTCTTCTGTTAGGAAGATAGTGCATCGTGAGCTCGGCTGACCTGCAGCGACCCTGCTGGAAGCCAGCAACGACAAGACAGTCCGTGACAGTCCCACCGCCAATCAACTATGCAGAAAAAGCCGCAAGTGGCGCTGTGGCTCGAGTGGTAGAGTGCCAGCCCTGAGCAAAAGAAACTCAGGGACAGCGCCCAGGCCCTGAGTTCAAGCCCCACAACCAACAAAAAATAAAAATAATCACAGAAAATGATTTATAACCCTCAACAAGATGTGTCTCTTACACACATTGTGCTGCTGCTGCAAGAGCCAGGCCACTCAAATAGCTGCTGTTTTTTATTTATCACTCAAAACCCAAACAAAAAACAAAGCAGAGAAGAGGGACTGCCGGGCGGGCGGGCAGGCGTCATCTGTCATCTTCGGTGGCTCTGAAGGTCACAGGTGGGCGTGGCCAGGCGGCAGCCACGTCTCGGGGCTATTCCGGGTCTTTCTGGTCTTCTAAGGACGCGGCCCAGGGCAGGCCAGGCAGGCTGTCGAGGGCCCCGGCCTCTGCAGAGCAAAGGAGCGCACATAGGTGGCAAGTTCCAGAGAGCTACATGCCACCCACCCCGCACCCAGCACCCAGCACCCCGCACCCCACACCACGTACCCAGCACCACGCACCCCGCACCCAGCACCCCGCACCCCGCACCC